TGTCATCTAGGAGGTATGCAGTAGAGATCACCAATGCAGAACAAGTACCAACCAGCCTCACTCCAGTTTCATGCTGGTTCCTGAGGCCCCTTAAGAAAGGGTCCAGAGTGACTCCTCACACCGCAGAGGGAGAGAGCTGGAGAAGGTGCAGCATCAGATGTGCATGATGAACAGATGTGTAATCATAGACCAAGGGATAGAGCAAATGGTACTTCCCTCCAGGAAGCATCATAAACATATGACTTAAAAAAGTCAAAATTCTCTGTGCCTTTCTGGCAAGCTCTACTGGTACCTGTTGCTTAAAAGGAGTTACCTGGATTGGTCAGTTTCTCCTCCAGCTCAGCCTGAGTTGTCACGCTCTCAGATTTGGGGGAATGAATAATCAGCACAACCGAGCCAGCACAGCTTAGCAGACACCCCAACTTTCCCAAAATGTTGAGCTTTTCCTTCAGAAGATAAGAAGCTAAAATGGACCTTAAATGATAAAAAGAAATGATTACATTTACCTTAAGTGATTAAAAAAGACATATTTTACTTACTATAAATAAGTCAGATTTTCTTTATTTTAATTTTTATGAATAAAAATTTGGGAAATGTTTATTTAAAAGGTGATTTCAACACAAATAGGAATCCACATCAAATTCCTTGCATGGCAGTACAGTTAATTACACTCTTAACTCATGCAATTCAGTACTTATGAAATATAGCAGAGTAGAAAAAGATTTATAATTGGCAAAAAAAAGTCTTGGTAATGTAGGATACAAAGATTTTTAAGATAATTACATGAAATACATGATCAGAACACTGCCAAAAATGCACTAAAAGGAGAAAAAATGCTAATAGTCATTGCACTGTGTTGGTAAACTTATGGGGAATTATTTCTTTCTTCTCTAAACCTGAATCATTAAACTTATTATCATGTTACATTTTCTCTCTCAATTTATTATGTACTTGTTGAGAATGTACACAACAAAACAAATTCAACAATTTCTACGTGTACAATTTAGTGACATTAATCATCTTCTTCAAGCTGTAAGACCAGGCTCAATTTTCCTCTCTTGAGTTGTTCTCACCCCTCCCTAAGGTTCCTACCTAATCTTTTGACCTGCTGTTTTCAATTTTATCTCAGAGTATCTAAAAATGCACAATGTTCAAGACTGATCATATTTACTAGCTATGTCAAACTACTCTATTTTTGGTTTAGGGTTTAAAGATTATCTCATTGCAACCTCTTAAGGGTTCATTCACATTCCATCGCCCCAGAAAGTTGGGAGTTTCTGAGAATTTGAAATTCAGTCAAAAATTTTCCCCCCTTTGATTACATTCTTCTATAGAATCTTTGATCAAAATGCTCAGAAATAAGAGTTGAGTACAATTTAGTTCTTCTGATGTCATGACAAAGGAGGCCGTCATTCATTGCGACGATTAGCCACATATTCTACATCCTCCTCTTGTTCCTGATGCTCTGTCTTCCTCTGTAGCTCCAGTTAAACAGAGATCAACAGTTGTACCTTGAATAAGTGTTTGCAAGCGATTTGGACCTCAGGCTCTACTTGAAGTACCAGGAGGCAGAAGGGAAGCATCAAATACATGAATAGGCCAATTAACTAGGACACCTTGACCATGAACCTCCAAACTAATCTCATGAGGTTTGGGGTTATGCAAACAAATCCTCAGCAGCTACTCTTTTTGTTACTGTAACTTTATCAGTTCAACGTTGACCCCCTTCCTCACTCTCCCATTCCTTATTACTGCTACTTAAGAGTGGTCCCTATACCTTTGTTCTTTCTCCTCTTTCTAATATAATATTTGTTATTTTGTGATTGCCTTAATTTGTTCAAGATATTATCTTCAACTATAGTGTAGGATGTATCAAGATGTAACTCCTCCTGTTGACTGATAGCATTCCATTGCACGTATTTTGTTTGTACATTTAGTTTATCCATTCATCTATTGTTATTTCCACTTTTTGGCTATTGTTAGTAGTATGACAATGAGCAATAGTGTGCAAGTCTCTTTTTTAATCTCTACTTTAAAGTCTTTTGGTAAACCTAGAAGTGAAATTGCTGGTCATGTGGTAGTTCTGTTTTTAATTTTGTTGGAGAAATCACCACACTGTTTTCCACAATAGTGGTTCCATTTTGAATTCCCACCAGCATGAGTAAGCGTGTCAATTTCACCACATCTTCACCAACATTTGTCAATTTCTGCTTCTTGTTTTATCATAGTCACCTTGATGGAGTATATCAGTATCTCTTTGGAATTTTTCCGCATCTCAATGATGGTTAATAAAGCTGAGCACTGAATTCTTTCATACTACTGACAGGCAATGCAACAAACTTTGCCCTCGGGTAGCAGGTGTTTGCTCCGACTAGGCTGGCCAGCCTTGGGAGTAGCAGTCTCCAAGCCTTATGGATGCCATAATAACTGTGAGCCATGTCCAGCCCAGTTGATCAGAG